CCATTGTCACATGTGTTTTGTGTTTATTTATTTATCAAAAATGCTTTAGACCACTAATTAGTGGTGGTTCTAATGATGTCGCAGTGGGTGACCCACTGTCACATGTGTTTTGTGCCTTGTTTTTTTTTTTTAATTACCACCTCACTAGTGGTGATATTAGTGATGATAAATTAGTGGTCTATAACATTGCTCTTTATTTATTTATTTTTTTAATTGCCACCTCACTAGTGGTGGTATTAGTGATAGTAAACTAGTGGTCTATAACATTACTTTTTTGTGAAAATCATCACTAGGTGTTTTTTGGGTTTGCCTTTTTTGATTTTTTTTTTTTACTTTTTTAGTAATTTCATTTAAAAAAATTTTTTTAAAGATTTTTTTGATTTTACTCAATTAAATTTACTGAAACAATAAAATTCTTAGTATGTGTTTAATTTGTATTTTGAGATTAATTTTTTTAAAAAAATTTGGAGAGAGGTTTTAGAATTTTTTTTGATTTGTTTGGTTGTATATTTTGAAAATAGTTTTGGAGTTTGAAATGATTTGATATTTTATTATAATTGAGTAGATGTGTGTGAGAGAAAAAGTAATTGAGAAAGAGAGAGGAGAGAGAAAAAATGATTAATTGATGTGTAATAGAGAGAGAAGTAATTTTAAATATTTCTGAAAAAATTTGTAACCAAACATGTTTTTTAATTTTTTTTTTCAAAAATATATTTCAAAATACAAACCAAACACACCCTTAATTTTTTTTAAAAGGCCCTAAAAGGACAAAAAGAAAAAAAAATTATTTTTTTGGTTCAACTTTTATTTATTTATTTTTGTTTAGATTCGTTTATACAACGCGAATCAAAAAAATAATTTTTTTTGATATAATTTGAAAAAAAAAAAAAACACTATCATTCATTGATAATTTATACAAGTTATAACAATTTTATAAAAAAATATTATAATTATAATTATAGTTATAAATATTTATAATATTTATTATTTATTTATAAATATTTCTTTTAGACACTACTATCATGTTATTTATAATTATTTGTTTAAATTGTCCCCAAAGATTGAGTTGGTTCAATTTTTTTAATAAATTTAGTTGATAATATTAGATTGGTTATCCATTCAAGTCATGCCTATGAGGGGATTGGCCTGGTTATGCCTAACCGATGACTCTAGTTTTGGAACATGTTATTTTGAATAATTTTTAAAATTTTTTAATTAAAATATAAATTAAAAAAAATTACTAACAAGTATTCATAAGATACAAATAAAAGACAAAAGAATTTCAAAAATATGAAACACTTTTTACTAAATTCAATATATTTTTATTAAAATTAATATAATTTTTTAATATTTTTACATATTTTTAAGATACTCTTTATACCCTTCCCAATGTTATATATAAAAGGTACTGTTAACCAGTGCTATGAAGATATAAGTAAATTTTTAAAAAAAATTAATTTTAATATATTTTTACTAAAAATCAATACAGTATATTTTTTAATTTTTTTTTTACTCACTTTTTACACACTTTTTATTATCCCCTTTAAAAGATGTGATTGGACTAACAATGATGTAGGACCTACCTAAAGTTTGGTAGGAAAAATCACATGATATAATCATTAGGCTAAGTTTGGAACAATCTATTTTAATTAAAAAGATAAAAAAATCATTATTAAAACATTAAGGTGCTGTTTGGTAACACTTACGTTTTCAGTTTTCTGTTTATATTTACAAAAATTTAAAAAACTCAAATAAAAACTTGTTTGGTAAAATTTTTGATTTATATATCAGTGGTCTGAGTTTATAAATTTGGCCAAAAAATGAAAACACAAAAAATGTGTTTCCGTTGAGTTTTCAATTTTTTTTTTTTTTTACCACCCAACACTAGCCACCAACCATCATCATTTTCCACCACCGTCTTCCGCCACCACCCATCCTTAGGCCAAGTTTGGAAAGTTGTTAAAAAGTCAAAAAATTACTCAAAAAGTTAAAAAGTTATCACTATTCATCAAAAGTAAAAAATTACGGCGACACAATTCTCAATCCTAATTTTTCCCTATACACTAATTTATATAATTTTTTAATACACATTTTTTCATAAAAATTCAAAAAGTTAACCCAAATAATCATATTTTTTTCCTCAACTGTTTAGTCTAAAAAGATAAAAAAATACACTTATTTAGGACACCTCAAACAATCCCTTAATTTCCTCAAAAGGTATGATTATTGAAGTGGATTTACAATCCAATCATCACAATATCTTAGCTCTGTTTGGGAAGAGTTTTTTGGGTTTTTTTTGACTAAAATAGTCACAAAAAAACAAAATAGGCTATTTTAGTCACAACAAACAAAACATCATATCCAACTCATAATCATTATACTCTTCTCTCACAAAAAAAGTTAAAAAAGTCAAAAAGTCAAAAAATTCTTCACAAACCAAACTTTTTAACCCAGGCTAAAATAACCAAAAAGTCAAAAAACTAAAAAACCAACCCACTTCCCAAACCAACCCTAAAAATCTCATACTTCTAGTAATTCTAACATACTTAGGCCAAGTTTGGCAACTCTTAAAAAATCCAAAAAGTCAAAAAGTCACTATCCTATTTAAATCACATCATCTTATTTAAGTTACATCACCTCTTTAACACATCACTTCAAACCCAACCCAAACCCAACCTATATTTCATAAAAAATAAAAAGTGCACTTATTTAGTCTTCCCAAACTTGACCTAAAGGTATATATAAAAAATAAAACAAAACCCCCCCTTTATTTTTACACTTTTTTTTTTGTAAATTTTTTTTTAAAAAATTGTAAACAATTTTTATACTTTGATTTTATATTTTAATTAAAAAATCAAAAAATTATTAAAAAGTCACTACTCAAACAAACAAACACTTAGGGATTGTTTGTGATGACCTAAATAAATGTACTTTTTATCTTTTTATAAAAAAGTATTCAAAAAAATAGAGAGGTGATATGATGAAAAAAAATAAAAAGATGAATTATTTTATGCATGCCAAACTTGACCTTATTAATCTAATCCAACAAGTAGATGGATAGAAGATGCATGCGAGAAAAGGCCCGTGAGATGGTACAAATAATTATTTGAATAAATTATAAAAGAAATTTAAAAATTTGAACCTTATAATAAAATAAATAGGATTGTGAGATGGCAAAAATAATTATTTGAACAAATTTGAAAGTTTGAGTCTTATAATAAAACAAAATTTGAGATTTTAATTTTATCAATTTAAATTATAATTCTTTGATTTGTTTTTAATTCACATAAGTTTTTATTATTATTTTTGTTTAATAAAAATATCAAAAAAATATTTTTTAATTATTAAACTCAATATAAGTGTATAGAAAATGTTTTAAATACTTATTTATATTGAGTTTAATAATTAAAATATATTTTTTGATATTTTTACTTAATCAAAATATACAAATAATTTAAATTAAAAAATTATAATTTAAATTGATAAATTAAAAAATTTAACGTTTATTTTGTTAAAATTTAAATTTTGAGATTTTATTTTATTTTTGTAATTTTTTCTAATTATTTTGTGCATGCTTAGTTTGTCACTCAAAATATGTTTTTGGAAAAACAATTCCAAAAACATGTTTAGCTAGAATTTTTTAAGAAAAAATCTAAAATAGCTTTTCCTCTCTCATTTTCAATTATTTTTTCTCTTACACTCATTTATTTAATTACAAAAAAAATCAAATCATCTCAAATTTCAAAATTTCAAAACTATTTTCAAAGCCTTCGTTTAGCATGTGGTTAAAAGGATAAAATAGCTACAAAAATACAAAATAAGCTCTAAAGCCAATAAAATAAAATGTTACATTTAAATTATAATTATTTTATTTTATTTTTCTCACAAAAGTAAAAAAAACTAAAAACCCAATCCAAACGACGCTTTTTAGCCCAAGTTAAAATAACACAAAAATTAAAAAGTTAAAAAGTCAACTCACTTCTCCAAACAAAATCAAAATATACAACTAAACAAATTTTTAGGCTGTGTTTGGAGTAACTCTCTAAATACATTTCCATCCATTGATTTCAATGTGTTATTTGTTTTGAATTTTCAAATTATAATTCCGCACCCACTTATGAAAATTCTTTTTCAGGCAATAAAATTTAGCTAACTCGATCGTCCTCTCGGAAGTCCGACCGGTTGACCAGAACAATGTTCGGTTTTTTTTTGACACCTGTTATTTTTATATTTTAAATAAAAATATTTCCAGAATTTTTATTAATTTTTTTTTATGAGATTTTGGATTATTTGTTTGGTCATGGGTTGTAAGTTTTTGAATTAAATATCATACGTTATTTCAAAAATTTCAAACTCAATTCAAAACTCACGAGCTCAAAATATAACTCTATTATCAAATTATATTTAGAAAACTCTACCAAATGTTATCTTAAATTTTTTAAACTTTTTTTAAAAAATTATTTTTAAAATAATATTTTAAAGGATTCGTTTAGAAAATGAGTTGACTTTTTGACTATTTTAACTTAGGGTTAAAAAAACTCGTTTAAGAAAGATTTTTTAACTTTTTACAAAAAAAAAATAAAATAAAAAATTAATAATTATAAATTAAATATAATATTTTATTTTATTAAATCAAAAAATATATTTTATTTTCTTGTGATGAAAATAATTTCGGCAATTTCACTATCCCACATTTCCAAACTGCACAACACAGTTAATTTTCGGTACAATCTCTCTTACATTTCCAAACTGCACAGCAGTTAATTTTCGGTACAATCTCTCTCACATTTCCAAACTGCACAGCAGTTAATTTGCTGTACAATCTCTCTCTCTCTCTCTCTCTCTCTCTCTCTCTCTATGTCTACAAGTTTGGCATAAGGGTCTTTTTATCCATGGCTTCATCTTCTGATTTCGAAACCTCCTCAAACAACATTCCATACCAGGGTATGTCAAATTCTTTACAAACCCATTTTCTATGTCATGTTCATACACAAACATATATATATATATACAGACTCTTTTTTTTTTGGTCTATCTTTCTGTACATTCGTGCGTTCGTTCTTGACAAGCAGATCTGCAAAGAAGCAAGCTTTGTTTTGGTGAAATCGGATGGGCAATGCAAACGGAAGAGGAGATTTAGCCAATGGCGGTCCCGACGATCCCTCCACAGGATCTAACGGTGAATTGCGATTCCGCCCCAATTACCTGCCAAACTCCATTCCTCCTCCTGCACGTCTGCCTTCTCCTGATTTGATGGCCAATTCCCCTCCGGCGAGCCCCGCTCGCTTTCGATCCCCGCACATGTTCGCTCCTCAGGTTTATTCTCTTCACTTCACTCCACTTCTTCAATTGATTGATTATGTGAATCATTCGAAGATCAAAATATTAGTTTTTGTTTATTTTCTGATTCGTTAGATCCTTTATTTTAGTAATTTTTTTAAACTTTTTTACTCTACCAAAAAAGAAAAAGAAAAAGAAAAAAAAGTAGAGTAGGGAGATTGATGTAATAGTGACTTTTGTATTGGAGTGGCCAAACGATGCCGTGTTCATTTTTTATGCTTATCAATCTGTTTGGAGATGATGCTAAATAATGGGTTTGTTTCAAATTCTTGATTCGTCAATGTTAGCACTTAGCAGCAAAGCAATATTAGGGTTGTGATTCTTTCTTCTTTTATCGAGACGATCGAATCAGCGGCACACACGTCACTTATATCGAGGGCGCGATTGGCTTAGTAAAGATAATAAAAAAAGTTCCAACCGGTGAATAGTAGGAAAGTATATTTGCTTGTCTTTTTTGAAAGAGATAAAAAAAAAATTAAAAAAAAAAGAGTATTTTTATTAGTGCTTTGGTGGTTGAGAAAATAGTGACAATTTTTTATTTTTATTTTTTTTGGTGATAAATAATGGCAATTGTTGAAATTTGACGGACATGGGTGTGTCGGAATGCTGTGTGGTGAGAAGGATAAGGTTGGGTGTTTGCGTGAGCAGTCCCATTCTGGAGGAGTGATGTTACCTAGGAAACTGTTAGTACCTTGGAGGCAGTTTAAGGAGAACCATCCAAAAATCACATCTGTGGATGCTATTAGAAAATTGGTAGAGACAAATGGAAATCATTATCAGAGGAGGCAGTTTAAGGAGAACCATCCACTTTTGTCAAGAGGGCACAATATTGAAGTTTTTCAGTAATTTGGGTGTGGATGGTTTTTTTGGCTTCTATAATGGATGGTCATTCTTCTTCTTCTTCTTCTTCTTCTTCTTCTTCTTTTCTTTTTATTTATTTATTTATTTATTTTTTAATTGTATAAGGGGTGTGTCCCCTCGACACAATCTTTAATACAATTTTCTTCGTTGCTGATAAAAAAGGAAGGAAAAAAAAAATTGTAAACAATATTCCATTAGAACATTATGCACATTTAGAATGATTTACGTTTGTACATGATGACATTGATTTGTGAGACTTTAATTTGATGATTCTTGGTTCGCATTGAATTTACCTGAAATTTATATACCCTGTATGTAACGGGATGTGTAGACTTCAACATCTTTAATTATTAAATTATTGAGCTTTATAAATATTTATGGAGGCTTTAATTTTTGTTTCACATTTTCATACATTTCCTTTTCTTTTTTGCTTTCCTTATGTTTCCAAAATGTTTCTATTCACAAACTAACCAACAGTATGTATCAAAACATGATTTTGATTTTTTTGTGGCTCTGTTTGGGAAGAGATAGATTGGGCTTTTTTGGCTATTTTAGTCACAAAAAACAAAATAGGCTATTTTAGCCACAAAAAACAAAACATTACATCCAACCCGTAATCATTACACTCTTCTCTCACAAAAAAAGCTAAAAAAGCCAAAAAACTTTTCCCAAACCAAGCTTTTTAGCCCAGGCTAAAATAGCCAAAAAAGTCAAAAAGCCAACCCACTTCCCAAACCAATCCAAAATATGCTTGGTTTTGGGAGGTCAATTATAAGGTGGAATTTAACTTCTCTCCAAAATGGAATGTTGATATTAATAATCTGTAGGTTAACAATGTAGGATAGCTACTGGTGCCCTGGTAATGTCAAGCCTGTTTCCTGCCCAAATGCATTGTGATTGTGCATGTTCTCACTTCATGGGGTGGCTTACTCAATTAGGTCAATATAATAGATTTGCATGTCATTAAAATAATATAATAAAATTATGAACTTGGTTTTTTTGGGCATTAGTTGCCCAAATGCAATAAACCAAAGATGACCATATTTAATTTGGTTAGCATGTTCTTTAGGTTTACCTAATCAAAGTTGATTCTTTTGTTAGTTTGTTGAGTGTTTCATGGGGCTGGTTGCCGATTGGCATGTTTAAAATTACAGTTGGAAGTGTTTGAAAAAATGCTTATCAGATTTGACTCTAAAACGTCAAAATGCCATTGACAATCCATTTGTGAAGACCTATTTCATTTGTGGAGACCTAAAAAAACTGAATAACCATCTCCACGTTTGATATGGAAGTTACTTCTCCTCTCTCATGTACTGTACTTCAGAAGTACTGTTTCCTTTATTCCCTTGCCTTTCTGTGTTGTGGTTGTTTTGGTATGAATATTTTATTCCATTGAGGCATATTTTTTGAACAAATCCTAAGGACACATCAAGAGAAGTACAGTAAGTTTTTCCACAAACTCCAAAGAATGAATCCCTTACCCAGTTGGTCATTTGGCTTTAGCAATTTGGTGAGTCATTTTCAAAGTACTTTTTAATTCGTTCTGTTTTGTTCTCAGTATATGGCCTTCCTATCATTATACTCGGAAGGTTCAAATGACAGTATTTATATTCGTAGAACGATAAAAAAAGAGCAGATCTTAATGAGTATAAACATTTCAAAAGGTCTTAGTTGAGAACACGAAAATAGGTCTATATAATTTTTGGAATGTAGGAATAAGTATTCTCTTTTTTAACCAAATTAGACATAAATATACAAAGGTAGCTGAATGCTGCCCTTATCTTGCTTTTGACTTTTATGGAGTACAAAATCTTGTTTCATACAATGGGTATATTCAAAAATTTGATTAGCAAAACTTTTATGTTTCTTTACCTGGGTAGAATCTTAGATGTGGTTCAATTTTCTAGGAAATTTTGTTATTCCCAAATTTCAACATTAATAAATAAACTGGTCAGGAGTTCAATTTCAATTTCAACATTAAATGCCTTCTTTGGTTAATTCTATGTACATTTGAGTAATGGATTGATATCTACAATCAATATCCTTTATAAAATAATTCTACACATTGTTGGTAATCGTTTTATCGCCTAGTCATCAGATCATTACTTTGTTGCTTTTCTTTCATAGTTTCTCAAGTTTTTATTTATTTATATGTCTTTCTTCATATAAACAGTTGTTTCATTATGTTTGTCATTTGTCTTACTGTGTTCACTTAGGCAATAAACTCTTGGATCTGTGTCGGTATTATTTATTTGTCAAACAATATAAATACAATGAATGCTAGTAATGTTTACAACCGTCATGCAAAAGCCAAAGTTTGTGGATTTGGTTGGATAAAGCTTTGAAATCTTCCCTTAGTTCCAGTTTCAAACATTCTTCATAGTTGAATCACAGATCTGATGGTTATTGAGCTGTCAGGAGGAGCTATAAGTTTGATGGTGGCTGTTACATTGATTATTGATATATTACTTATGTTGCGATCTGGACATGATGTTCCACTCAGGAGTTCTTTATCTTTATGCCGTCTGCAATTGTCAAATATGCATATGTTATGTGACTTGGATGGAATGAAGTTTTTAACTACCTTTCACTACCATGTTTACAAATCATGACTTAGGAATCATGTAAAAATGATTAATCAACCAGTAATTAGAATAATAAAAGCTGTAATTCCCAATTTCCCAGTTGTTAGCTTCTCAACTGATACACCTCTTGTTTTTGTTGCATTTTTAGGTTCCTATAACTCCTCTGCAAACGAATGATGGTCCTCCCTTCTTCAATCAAATGCGGCTGAATGAATCTCAGGGGACTTCTAATCTTCCTCCTGAGCAAGGAGTACCTACTTTGATAATATGGAACTATGGTGGTAATGATATTGCTGTAGAAGGATCTTGGGACAACTGGACAACAAGGTGAGCTTTAGTCACTTTTACATTGATTTACACATCAGTACATTCTAGAGAGCAATACATTATAGATAGAAAATTCATTGCATATGGTAGAAGTCTGACATATATTATGTGGGGGATACCACTTTATACAGTGAAATTATGAAATAGCACTCATAATAGCATTTACTCACAGGAAAAAGCTGCAAAGATGCGGTCAGGATCATTCCATTCTCTTGGTTCTGCCATTGGGTATATACCATTACAAGTTCATCGTGGATGGTGAATGGAGATATATTCCAGATCTTCCTTTTGTAGCTGATGAGATGGGCCTTGTTTGCAATCTTCTTGATGTCAATGTGAGTAGGTCCATAACCTTGTAACATTTCCAGAAGTCATTGTGAAATGGTTCTTGCAAGAAATTCTACTGGAGTTGATAAATTTTGTACTTGATACTTAGTAGATAAGGATAGTCTTTTTTTTTTTGGGACATGATAGATGGATGGATATGCATGTCAATAAACATTTAATTTTCTAATCATGGATATGGAAGAGCATGTTCATTTTTATTTTTTTAATACAGGTTTTGTTTTTTGACTCTTACCTGGTATTTTCTGTTTGTTATGACATGCTAATTTGATAGGATGCTGTGAGTATACTTTTAATGCACACCCGATGTTTGTATAGCTTGAAATTTGTTATTGTTAAATGTGATTCTGTTGAATGTATAGATGAAGAAGTTGAAGAATGAGAGAGCTGCAGAAACATTATTGAACAAAAAACATAGGGTTCTCCCCTCATACACAACTATTTATAATAATAATAGGTAGACACAAACTACATAACTACACTAACACTTAACACTACCCTTAAGTTGGTGCAAAGATGTCTCTCATGCCCAACTTGCAACAAATGGGGTGAAAGAACTTACTTCGAAGACCCTTAGTAAATACATCTGCCAATTGATCTTCAGATTTAACAAAAGGCATACATATCAAACCCTTATTCAATTTCTTCTTAATGAAATGTCTGTCGATCTCAATATGCTAAGTCCTGTCATGTTGAATAGGATTGTGAGCAATACTTGTGGCAACTTTGTTGTTGCAATATAGAGTCATGGGTTCACTGCATTCAAGTCCTATATCACTCAGCAAGGATTGAAGTCACATCAGTTCACATGTACTATGTGCTATAGCTCTGTATTAAGCTTCAACACTAGATCTGGATACCATTGCCTGCTTCTTACTACGTCATGTGACTAAATTCCCCCCTAAAAAAGCATAGTAACCGGAGGTAGATCATTTGTCATTTATCGAGTTTGCTCAATCTGCATCTGTGAATGTCTTTAACCTCAAGTGACCATAATTAGAAAACAAAATTCTTTTTCTAAGAGCGGATTTAAGATACTTCAAAATGCAATACCCTGCATCCAAATGGGTTGCACAAGGATCATGCATAAACTGACTCACTATCCGACCACATAAACGATATCTGGACGAATGTGGGATAGATATATAAGTCTTCTCAAAAGTCTCTAGTACTTTCCTTTTCCACAAGATCACCAACACCACTGCAAAGTTGATGATTAGTCTTAATCGGCGAATCAGCTATTACACCCCAACGTGTCAATTTCCTCAAGAAGATCTAGAATGTACTTCCTTTGAAAAATAAAGATGCCTTTGTCTGACTTGGCAACTTCAATCCTAAGAAAATACCTCAACGGGCCCAAGTCTTTGATCTCAAATTCCTTGGCTAACTACGTCTTAAGATATGTCACTTCTTTCTCGTCATTACCTGTTACCACTATGTCATTCACAAATACAATAAGCATTGTTATATTATTTGCATTGTGTTTGACAATCATGGTGTGATCTGCATTGCTTTGCTTATACCCAAGCCTTAACATAGCTTTTAGAAATCTGCCAAACTAGGCTTGAGGGGACTATTTCAAATTATATAAAGCATTCTTCAACCTACAAACTTCTTCAATTACAGACTGAGATGAGAATCCTAGAGGTACATCCATATACACCTCCTCCAAACCATCATGAAGAAAGGCATTCTTCACATCCAGTTATTGTAAAGGCCATCCCAAGTTAGCAGCACATGAAAGAATAGCTCGAATAGAATTCATTTTCGCTAAAGGGAAAAAAGTTTCTTGATAGTCAATTCCATATGTCTGGGTAGATCCCTTGGCCACTAGTCTTGCTTTGTACCGTTCAATTGTCCTATCTGCTTTTTGCTTAATGGTGAACACCCACTTACACCATATTGGTTTTTTTCCATTAGAAAGAGAAACCAACTCCCAAGTGTTATTCTTGTTCAAAGCTTGCATCTCTTTTACCATAGCTACCTTTCACATATAGGATCATTGATAGCTTCTTTCCAATCTTGCTAGATACACAGAAGACATAGAAGAAACGAATGCACGATATGTAGAAGATAATAAATCATATAACACAAATTTAGAAATGGGGTGTTGAGTACATGCTCTAAACCCCTTTCTAAGAGCAATAGGAAGACTCAAATCATTAACAAGAGGTCTATCACCAACTGGTGAAGAATTAGGTTGAGGATCATTATCTGTAGAGTCGGTGGAAATTGGATGTAGAATTGGCATGAGGGATGATGATTGACTTGGTGTTATAGGAGAAATTTGCTCTTTCTGACGCCGGGAATAAGTCTTAAGTTCAACCCTATCCAAACGACCACCGATGTCAGGCTCCTCATCAACAGAACTCTTGGGTTTCCTCTCACCACAAATAACAGTCCACTGACTAGGAAGGAAAAAGGACAACTCATGCTGATATGACATCGCTTCATCTGTAATATCATCCGTAACACTCTTCCCTTGAGGAGATAGCGGAGGACAGGTAAAAAAAGGACTCAAATTCATGGAAGGTGACATCTATACTAGCATATGCCTCACAAGTGTGAGGGTCATAGCATTTGTAGCCCTTCTGAGTGGCAGTAGCCAATAAAGACATAATGAACAGCCTTAGGATCAAGCTTCCCACGAGTACAAGGTTGCAGATGAATGAAGCAGACACTCCCAAAAACTGGAGGAGGAAGAGAAGCAGTGGGTAAGTCGCAAGAAAAAGTTCAAGAGGAATTTAAAAGTGGAGGATACTAGAGGGCATATGGTTAATAAAGTAAGTAGCCATTCTTGCGTTCATCAACTTCATTCTGCTCAGGAGTGCTTAATAAAGAATGCCTTGCTCCTCAAGGTATGTCTGAAAATCTCCATCAACATACTTAGGGTTGGTTTGGGATGTTCTAAAAAAGTGCACTTTTTGACTTACTGTCTTATATGGGTTGGGTCTAGGTTGGATTTGATGTGATGTGTTAGAGAGGTGATGCGATTTAAATAAGATGATGTAACTTAAATAGGATAATGACTTTTTGTATTATTTAGTTTATGCCAAACCAACCCTTAGTCCCATTATTACTCCGAAAATTTTTGATGGTAGCATTAAAGAGATTAGACACCATTTTATGAAAAATTTGGAAACACAAGAAAACCTCATTTTTAGTTCGATGTAAATAAATCCAAATCACACGGAAATAACAATCAATAAAAGTAATAAACCACCAATAACCAGAAGTAGAATCCACAAGGGAGGGCCCCCCCTCATCAGTATGAATAAGTATAAAAGGAAAAGTACTTTTATTAATTAAAGGATAAAAAGTACGTTTATACTTAGAAAGCTCACAAGCATCACAAACAAAATTATTCCTAGGCTAATCTCGAATAATGAAGGAAAAAGCTTCTCTAAAATACTAAAGGAAGGATGACCCAAACGATGATGCCATTGATGAAGGAGATGAAGAGAGGAGTCGGTAGTGCATTGAAGAGCCTGAGAGGACAAAAGTAATGCAGGAGGAACAACATCTATGAAGTATAGTTCACCTTGTGCTCTATCACTACAGCCAATCATTTTCCCTATAGCTAGTTCTTGAAAGACACAATGAGTAGGAAAAAAGGTTATAGAGCAATTCAGAGTAGTAGTAAGGCTACTAATAGAAAGTAAGTTAGTGGAAAAATTAGAGACATGAAGAATAGATGAAAGAGATTGTAAAGAGGAACAATGAATTGAACCGTGGCCGAAGATAGAGGATAAAGTGCCATCGGCAACCCTAACCTTATCTCATCCAGAATATGGAGAATAAGAAGAGAATAAGAATAGAAAAGACTAGAGGCACTTGTCGTGTGATCGGTGGCATCGAAATTAATAATCCAAGGAGACGACGAAGATGTACTAAGTGTACTAGCATAAATACCTGTGTGAGTAAAGTTGGAAGAAGTAAAGGGAGTTAAGGTAGATGAAGAATCAAATCGAGCCATCAAACGTCTGAGCGTGTGGAGCTCATCGTAAGAAATAGAACCAATATCACTGGGGGCACTAGTAGTAATCTCTGAAACATGAGCTTGAGGATGAACACTACTACCACAACACAGCCTTAAGTAGGACGACCATGCAACTTCCAACAGTGCTCCCTATCATGTCTGTCCTTTCTACAATAATCACATTTAAGCCGATCTCTATCAACCAAGGGACCTTTACTACCAACCTGAGGTTGACTAAGCTGGGTATCACGGGACTTAGGAGCTATAACCAACGCAGACCGATGCTGAATAAGGGTATGCACCATGACACTACATCGACTCTCCTCTGAACAAGAGCATAAGTCTCACGCAAGGTGGGAAACAGAGAGCAACCTAACACTTGAACACGAATCTAATCGTACTCCAAATTCAAGCCCATAAGGAAGTCAAAAACATGCTCCTTTTCCACAGACTACTGAAACATAGTGGCATCTTTGGAACAAATAGCCTGGAAACTCTAGTAGTAATCAAGTTCCTGCCACAAGCCACTCAACTTAGCATAGTTTACTGCAAGAGAGCGATCCTTCTGATCTAAGCCCCTAATCTTCTTTCTCAACTCATAGACCTGATGCATCTTTTTTCTCAACTCATAGGCTTGTGCATCATTACCCTTTTGAGAATACATTTGAGTTGCAGCTGTCCAAATCTTGTGGGTAGTATCCAATAAGAGAAAAGTCCGATTAATGGTAGGCTCCATAGAGTTGATTAGCCAAGTCATAACTAAAGCATTCTCAGAAATCCATTGAGTGGACAAAGCTTCATCTGCATCAGGTTGCTTGATGCTATCGGTGACATAGCCAGTCAAATGACGGGCGGCAATAACAAGACTGCAAGAATGAGACCAGTAATTGGTACCATTAAGCTTGACGGGACTAATTTGGAGAGCAGGATTATCACCAAGAGTCATACCATGACTCAGCCCACTCTCTACCTAGTCCTTAGATGCCTGACCCTTGCTTTCAGCCATGTGATGAGAGAAAGAAGGTGCAAAAACACTAGTAGGATATCAAACAAATCTAGAAAACACCCAACCAACACAACTCAGCTTCAGAGTATGAAACAGTGCAAAATTACCCCAGAACAAAGTATCCATATCAACTTGATGCAAGAAAACTGAAGCAGACCATCCAAGACTCAGAAAAACCCAAAGGAAGTACCAAAAAACCTCAAAACATGACCAACAAACCCCTCTAGGGTTCTAGTTGACTCCCAAGGAAGAGAAGGGGAGGGAAAAATCCAGCCAAAAAGGGCTCAAGTAGAGACTTTTAAAAAATCACCCAGTTTTGATAAAAAATCGAAAAAATTGAAAAACCAATCAAATGTAAAAAATTACAAGAAAATTATAGGGTCAAACGCATTAAATTTTGAGCAAACTAGATTTTTTTTTTTTTTTTTTTTGTCTCCTTTTACTGAATATTTTTTTTAAACGACTGATACCAAACCAAGCCAAACCAAGCCTCAAGTCTCATTAAATGGGGTTGGCTACATGAATCTTTATTTTTTACTCGACTCTATCAAAGGTCATTTGATTAGTCAAATTAAGGAGATTCTTGTATGTGACCTCCAGAGAGGTGTCTATACTTCATAAGTCTCCGTTATATATGACCAAACCATCTTAATCTATTTTCTCTCAGCTTGTCTTCTATTGGTACTACTCTTACCCATTCACGAAGATACTCATTCCTAACTGTCTTTTCTAGTCTTGTCACATATACATTTTAGCATAATCTTAACAACGCTCATCTTATCTACATGTTTCTTAGTTGCCCAACATTTTGTCTCGTATAACATTGCTGGTATAATAGCCGTTCTATAGAACTTTCCTTTTAATCTAGTGGGTACTCGTTTATCGCACAGTACTCCAGACGCACTTCTCCACTTAAGCCACCCCGCCTTAATTCTATGGATCACATATGCTTTAATCTCCCCAGCTGTTGTGATAATCGATCCTAAATAACGACTGATACAAGTAAAAAACAGAAAAACGAAAGGAACAATTTTCAAGGAGGGGATGTAGCTCTGATGCCATGTTGAATATATAGATGAAGAAGTTGAAGAATGAGAGAGAGAAAATGGCTACATAAATATTATTGAACTAAAAACATAGTGTTCTCCCCTTACATACAAGTTACAACTATTTATAATAATAGTAGCTAGACACAAATTACATAACTACCCTAACACCTAACAAATTTTTTCTCTTAGCCATTTCTTTCCTCTATTCTAATCTCAGTCATTTATCTCATCACAGATCTATGTTTATATTTTTATCCCTTTTTTTTTTTTTTCCAATCTGTAATTGTTCCATGAGAGCATTGAGAATTCTAAGCAATTTGGTAGAGTTTGCATTTCGTCCATGTTTTCTGAATCTTCCTTATTAGCTGTCTTTGCAGCTGGTGGAAAGATTGTCGATGTTGTACATACTGATCTCGTGTTTGTCTATGTTACATTGACTTGTTTGACCTGATAATGAAAGTCATGCCTGTGTTTCTTCTTTTTGTTGTCAATTTTTTTTCCCCCATTTTGCCATGGTATATGCTTTTTGCAAATGATATCATGTTAGTGGATGAGAATAGAAAAGACGTTAACACTAAGTTGGAGACTTGGAGAGAAGCACTTGAATCTAAAGGATTTAGAATAAGCAGAACTAAGACAGAGTACATGGATTGTGATTTTAGTAATGGTCACAATGGAAGCAATGGAAAAATGAAGATTGAGAATCAAGAACTACCTAAGAATAAACATTTTCGTTGTTTATGATCGATTATCACAACAGTTGGAGAGATTGGAGCGAATGTGGTTCATAGAATTAAAACAGGGTGGCTTAAATGGAGGAGTGCATTTGGGGTACTGTGTGATACAGTGTTGTCAAAGTCGTGCCTAGGCGCACGCCTAGACGCAAGGCGAGTCGAGGCGCACCATCTGCGCCTGTACAGGTACCAGGCGAGGCGGCTTGACCCAGGCGAGCGCCTTAGCCGCGACTTTAGCAAGGCGAGAGAGGCGCAAGGCCCTCGCCTAGGCGCGACTGAGCGTTTAATCTGTAGATCTGATCTAACGACTCAGATTCGACTCAGATGAACCTTTCGAATGGCTCGTAATCACAGAGGATCAGAACTCATGTACCATATGAGCTCTCAGATTAACCCTAATCGAAGTCGTCTCTCCCTGTTTCGCCTCGCAATCGACTTCGAGCTGCTGGAGCTAGACTTGGTCTGCGACTACGACTGCGACTGCGACACAAGAGCTGGACTTCGACTGCGACACTGGATCGACTTCGGCTTCATAGGTTCGACTCTCTCTCCCCTTCTCCTTCTTCTTCGTCTTTGACACTGGTCGTTCGACTTTCATATTTTTTTTTTCCTTTTCTTTTTTTTTTCCTTCGACTTTCAGTTCAGTCCTCTCTTTTCTTTTCTTTTCTTTTTTCCTTTTCTTTTTTTTTCAATTATTTGAGTCTATTTTTTTCCTTCAGTTCAGTCCATTCCTTTTCTTCTTCTTTTCAATTATTAATTTTCTTCTTCTTTCGACTTTCTTTTTCTTTATTTTTTTTTCATTAATGATTATTACATTCATTATGATTATTACATAAATAAATAAATTAATTCATACATACATAAATAAAAAAAATAGATACATTACATTACATCCATTATGATTTTATTAAAATTGATTCATCATTATACTGAAATTAATTAATTGATCATTAATTAAAAAAATAGAAAATTGATTCATACATTACATACATTAATTAATTCATCACATAACATACATTACATTCATTATACTGAAATTGTTTTTCTGTTATTTATTTTTTGTGTTGTGTAGTAAGTACTATTACTAAGTAGAAAATGACATCGGAAAGTAATAGAAAAGATCCGGCGTGGCAATATGCCCATTTGGTGGAGGAGAATAATTTAAACAAGTTTGAGTGTAATTTTTGTGGTAAAGTATCAAATGGAGGTGTTTATCGGGTGAAACAACACCTTGCGGGAGGTTATAGGAATGTTACTGCTTGCCCGAAGTGTCCTTCTCATGTAAGAGAAGAGATTAGAGAGTTCATGTCCAAAAAAAAGACACAAAAAGAAGAAATGAACATGTTGCCTGATTT